AGAGTGATCTGTCGGATTTAAGATAATCCTATTTTTCTCAAGTTTTGATCTTTACCTACTAATTAGACCCCAAGGACTTCAAAAAACACAATGAATCAAATCAAAATCTGTAAGTTTTCAAACTAGCTATATGCAGTCTGCATATTGGTGCACAAGAAGTGCTCAAAGACAAATAAATTTTTTGCGTAAAAACTTACAAAGCTACAATGCTGAAGTTTTGCACCAATATTTACATGGACTATCTGGACATGTCAGAAAAAACAGAACTCAAATATCTGCCATAGAACATAAAATAATTTTTGACATTTTTCATGCATATAGGCCATAGAGGCAATTATGGCAAATAACTCTTGAAAAGGGGCGTACTCAGAATTTCTTTTAAGGACAATTTCTTAAACCAAAGTGGTCATGTAGAAGATGTTTCTGGATAAAAAGGATGAAATGTGGAGAAATGTGGAGAAATGTTGAAAAAATTCAAGATGAAACAAGTTTTACATGATTTGCCTCGACTGGTTTAAAATAACATGATTAGAACGGGACTGTGGTAGAACCACTGTACTAAAACAGGTTTCTGTATAATGGTGCTTACTACCACACTTGAAGTCAACTGAAAATAGAAAACTCAAAAAGAAATATTGAAGATTCTTTATTTTTTCATAAGTTATTTTGAGCATTAGAGCAACCACATAGAATATATGAAACAGCTCTAAATTGCATTATTGATTAACAGACTGTGAGGGTTTACTTATACATGAAATATAGGCATTGATATTGCAATAGTTAGCCTGCCGGGCAAGGTTACAAAGGTCCACACAGCAACTTTATTAAATTTGGGAATACAATAAAAAGCAGCATAATGATTAATCTAATTATTTATTTTTACCAACTTATCAGTAATACTGTTCACAGCTCACCGTCGAAATTTGAGCCTGAAGAACCATGTGTGACGCGTATTATCTGTGTTTGAGTCATCTTCTTTTCTTGAGACATTTCCATATAAAAAAAAGATATCTGTAGAAATACGAAAAGAAATTCACTGTTTAAGATATTTTTGAGGGAATTATGCATCTTTGTACATTTCAAGTACTTCTGAAGACTATTTACATATATGCAAGAATCAAGTCAACCCTCACGTGTCCCTTTCAGTTCATAATGATACTGCGAAAATGTTCATTGACAATGTGATAAAAGTGATATCAAAATAGATAGAAATTTGTCACTTTAATTACCTCACAGACAGCTGTAGAACTCAAGTTAGTTTATTGAAAATCTGTCAGATTCAAACTTATCAATTTCAATGACCACACCAAATTTCATTGAAGTTAATTTTTTTCAATTAAATCAACAATTTCAAATTCATTAAGAATGTCACATGCCATAACTCTAGAAGCCTTGTACAAATATATGTCTAAATTAAACGCCAATTATCACAATTGCCAAATTTGTTTGATGTGTAAGAAGAAAATCAAGGGCAATAACTCAAAATCATTGTAAATTTTGAACTTATCCCAAGATCTCCTCAATATATATGATCACACCAAATTCTTTTTATTAAAATCAGATGAAAATTGTTAAGTTTCTGTTGTGTTCACAAGAAATTTGCTGGACTGATGAACATAGGCGATGACAATTATATCCACATTTCCATGTGAGCTTTTAAAACCTGTTCACAGTTATTTACTTCAAACACAAGTATTTAAAGTCACTTAGACACAGTAGGGCTCACTTCATTTAGGCACACATTGGGCACAGGTAATATAGGCAGAGCATTATTCAGGCATAACTTCAATAAATCACTTATTCACTAAAGCACACACTTTTTAACTAATTTTAATCACAATGTAAATTCACTTAGTTATACACTTTTTAAGCAAACTAATATTAGTCACAATGTAAATTCACTTATTTTTAAGCAAACTAATATTAGTCACGATGTAAATTCACTTAGATATACTCTTTTTAAGCAAACTAATATTAGTCACAATGTAAATTCACTTAGATATACTCTTTTTAAGCAAACTAATATTAGTCACAATGTAAATTCACTTAAATATATTCTTTTTAAGCAAACTAATATTAGTCACAATGTAAATTCACTTAGATATACATGTACTCTTTTTAAGCAAACTAATATTAGTCACAATGTAAATTCACTTAGATACACTCTTTTTAAGCAAACTAATATTAGTCACAATGTAAATTCACTCAGATATACTCTTTTTAAACAAACTAATATTAGTCACAATGTAAATTCACTCAGATATACTCTTTTTAAGCAAACTAATATTAGTCACAATGTAAATTCACTTAGATATACTTTTTTTAAGCAAACTAATATTAGTCACGATGTAAATTCACTTAAATATACTCTTTTTAAGCAAACTAATATTAGTCAAAATGTAAATTCACTTAGATACACTCTTTTTAAGCAAACTAATATTAGTCATGATGTAAATTCACTTAGATATACTCTTTTTAAGCAAACTAATATTAGTCACAATGTAAATTCACTTAAATATACTCTTTTTAAGCAAACTAATATTAGTCACAATGTAAATTCACTTAGATATACATATACACTTTTTAAGCAAACTAATATTAGTCACAATGTAAATTCACTTATATTTAAGCAAACTAATATTAGTCACGATGTAAATTCACTCCGATATACTCTTTTTAAGCAAACTAATATTAGTCACGATTTAAATTCACTTAGATATACTCTTTTTAAGCAAACTAATATTAGTCACAATGTAAATTCACTTAGATACACTATTTTTAAGCAAACTAATATTAGTCACGATGTAAATTCACTTAGATATACTCTTTTTAAGCAAACTAATATTAGTCACAATGTAAATTCACTTAGATATACTCTTTTTAAGCAAACTAATATTAGTCACAATGTAAATTCACTTAGATATACATGTACTCTTTTTAAGCAAACTAATATTAGTCACAATGTAAATTCACTTATTTTTAAGCTAACTAATATTAGTCACGATGTAAATTCACTTAGATATACTCTTTTTAAGCAAACTAATATTAGTCACGATGTAAATTCACTTAGATATACTCTTTTTAAAAAAACTAATATTAGTCACGATGTAAATTCACTTATTTTTAAGCTAACTAATATTAGTCACGATGTAAATTCACTAAAATATACTCTTTTTAAGCAAACTAATATTAGTCACAAAGTAAATTCACTTAGATACACTCTTATTAGCAAATTAATATTAGGCACAATGTCAATAGTCACACCTGTATAGTTGCAGGGTGGAGTGTTGGGGAATGCTCCTCAAAGGCCCAAGAATAAGAAAATGGTAAAAGGGAAAAGACAGGTCATCCTAGTCACATGATGGATGAAGAAAGCCTTTGAAAAACATGAATTGAACATGTGCCTAGACTTAATTCATGCATTTTATGCCATTTGAATATGTAATAGTGATACCACCTAGGCACAAGTTTCATTGATGTATTTCAAATGCTTTTTTCTTCTATCATGTGATCAGGGTGACTTCTCTCTTCTTTCACTTTTGGGTCATCGATGGGCAATCCCCACCACTGGCCAGCTGTGCCTAATTGACATTGTCCAAATATTAGTGTGCCCTAAATCACTGTGCCTAAATGAGATTGTGCTCAATGTTAATATGCCTTAGTGAATATGTGCTTAATTGAAGTTGTGCCTAAAAAGAGTGTGCCTATATTATATGCCCTGCGCTCAAATTTATGACCCATTCCCTAAGTGCCTAAAAGAAGCATGCTTTAAGGACTGTGTCTAACTGTTATGTGCTTAAAATATTTGTGAACCAAATGACTGTATTAAAAGCACATGAAATAACTGAAGCTCATAAAGAATAAATTGAACATAAAGAAATAGTTTGAATCCATGAGTTTGACACATCTTTTAGATGTTTTAAGTTATTATTCATAGAAATATTTTGAATTAAACTTACTAATATCAAAATTTCATTAAGTTATTGTAATTAAACTGGCTCAATAGTCTCTCAAATTGCATTTAGGCCCTATCTTAAATATCAAAATAAAAGTTTGAATAAAACGTTAAAAGGGACATTCCGTTTTTTTTAGCAAGTTGAAAAATTTTTTGCTCACATTTGTGACAATTATACACCAAAATCTAGAGAAATGTGCTCTATCTGGTATCTGAAAGTTTTAACTAGAAAAATCCAGCTGTTAATTTTTGAATGCCAAAAGTATTAAAAAACATTATGTAAGGTTTTTATATTTGAAAACTAGTGCACTGAGTAAAATAAACGCCCAATTGTAGAGAAATATGTCTCTTATGTAATCTTAAGGTTTCAACTAATAATGTCGAACCATTATAACGCCAAAACTAGGTCCAACTGCTTAATTAAACAATTAGCACCTCCGTTTTAATTAACCCTTTTAAAGCAAATTCAATTTGATCAAGAAGATACATAGATGTAAATAATATATTTCAGAAATATTTTCAGGTATAATTTACAACGTTTTTGATAGTGAAAACTTCTTACAAAAAATCGGAATACCCCTTTAATGTGTGAATCGATGTATCGCAATACGACATGCCTCGATACTCACATCGTATCGCAAGGTCTTGTATCGATACTTGACAATACCTCTCATTTCATTTTCTTTATATTATTTCTCACTGACTTGACAGAAATTGTCGTAACTATTTACCAGACGGTGGATATTAACCACTCCTACAACAACATTACTAAATTTAATATCACAGTTATAAAATTATTAAAACTTTGAAGACAAAGCGTTAAATGTTATCCCCTAACCCCATATTGGGATACATATATAGTGATACGTATATAGTGATACGTATCGTATCGTGGCATGATTGGCGATACCCAGCACTAGTGCGAGGTTGAATTGTTGATGGAAAGTAATTTTTATAAAAATATGCAAGTACATGTATGACTAAAATTAAAAATAATATTAACAAAATATCGAATATAAATTGGTTCATATAGGTCTGCATATTCTTAGTTGCCTTCCACATCTTCTGTAACATATGCCAAGGGAAAATAGCCAGACTGAAAATAGAGTTTAAATATTTATTTTCTTTAATGAATTCAAAAAACAAACAGACCACCAAAAGCTATATGCCTTCAGCAAATTTTATCAAAGCTTTATCTACGTGGAAGTTCAGCAGCTCAAAAACTAGTGGACTTTGTCATAATACGCCAACATTTTCACTGAATTTTTGAAAATAAAAGGACTTTTGCATTTAATTCTGCTCTCAATTTCTCAATTGTTGGAAACTGTCAAAGTTGTCACTTGATCTTCATTTACTAATGATATTCCGACATATTATATATGTTATACTTTTATCCTGTAACTGAAAATTCATTGAAATATATCATCTTTATTAATATTCTGCGGGTGAATAAGGGGAATGGTCAATGAGCTCGAAGCCGACATGGCAACCACTGATTTGAGCTGAAAAGGTCTGGCTGAAAAGACGAACCCTAAATGGGATATCACAATCGGATAGCGCTGGGCGAGATTGGTTCAAGTTGATATCACAATATTAAGCAAGAATATATCACAGTATGGGTATATATATCCTGATATTTCTTAAGCATGGTTTTACTCGTTTTTTTTGATACAAAATGATAGTTATTTTTCTATCTAGAAATTTTAAATGCAACAAAAAACAATTTTTATCTCTTTAACACCCAAGTCTGTAACATCATGAAAAAACATCTGTTTCAAATATTAAGTTACTTGTTAGAATGGTGTAGATGATCTTATCTGGACAAAAATTTAACAATATATCAAGATAACTATCATATATCATGATATGGCCATGTTTAGTTATTTTTAATAAGGTGATATTACTAACGATATAAATTCCTATACCGGCATTTTTCGTGATGCCTGTGTATCGTCCAGCCCTACAATTGGATTTATACATAAACTTTTGCTACCAACAAGTAAAATCATTCAATGAATCATAGACATAAGAACTATGCAATTTAATGAAAATTGATATTAAAACAGTGGCCTCTATCAAATGTAGACGGAAGGTAGTTAGTCCTACATTAGAGTCATTATGTACTAGTGTTTCTACAACAGAATTAAATTTTTGACTGAAATGCACAAATGTATGAGAGCATTTAAAAATTAAACTAAAAAGATAATGAGACTTACCCTTTCTGTGTTGAGATTTTTACCTTTCCACCATCCTTTATCATTGCCATTTTTACTAGTGATGGCTATTCGATCTCCAGTGATTAAAGAAACTTGAGAAATGGAAGTAGCTGCATAATCATACAACACAATAGCATACCCTAATATTCTTTGTCCTGTAATATTTCAAGTTAGCTAGCATGAAATTTGGGAAATATATTGTTGACTCTCATGTCCGGGTCATTCCAGGTCAAATCACTTAAAACAAAAAGAAAGAAATTTTAACACATCATCGATTTTGATGAAACTAAGCCAATATTTTGGTATGATGGGAAAAGCTCAAATTTCAAATTTCATCAAAATTAGCTCAGGGGTCAAGGAGATATGACATCTCGAAATTTTGACTTTTTGGACAAATTTCACTTATTTTAACTTCAAATGAACATAGCTCAGTCACTTCTGGTACTAAAAAGTTGTAATTGGGTTGTTGTGCCTGTAATACTGAGATCAGAGAAGGCAAATACGAATCTATCAATATTTTTGGTATGAGATTTGTTATATTTATTCCTCTAAGAGTATAAATTGACAAGATCGCACGTGTATGAATCTAGATTTAGAGACGACAAAACTGTCATACCTTGTTCTGTTGGTAAGTTTTTCGACAAATCTAAAGTATTATTTCATTTCATTTATTACATGTAGATTTAAAGGCATCAAATTGAAATATGATCATTTCGCTTTTTGAATATTTATAAATAATTTTGACCATGACATGAAGACTTCACAAGTGCCGATATATTTAGAATTGCTGTTAAGTAAATACATTTCAAATGACCTCATCGTTATACTTTAATTATAGTCTCTCGTTAATCTTATATCTGAACATATGACGTTAATGTGAGATTGAGAGCTCAAGAAGAGCATTATCATAGTCGCAAAAAAAAAAAAAAAAATCGTGCCTGCAGACATTTTTGATACTGCAAAATATGCCTGCACACAGCGTGCGTGGTTTTGTTGAAGCCTGGAAAAGACAATAAAACAAGAAATAAAAATACCTCTGTCACTTTGATATGGAATTTTCAAAGTTGTTTTTACATCTGGAAAACTATCTTGTAATGTATTATTCTGATAATATTCGACCATTCTCTACAAATAAAGATATTATCAATTTCATTATAATAGTTATACACATAAACATTTTGATTTGTTACATATAGCAATATGCATACTTATAAAGTAAACTACCTCTTAGGATGACACAAAAATACATTTTATCAGTGGACCTGGTGTCATAACTATACAACAGAATCTCTCTATAATCTAATAAATCCATAAAACTAAGTAATAATTCATTAAACTAAGAAATTTTCAAACATGCTTAGAAACATTTTTTCAATAATTATTTAGTTTAATAGATATATTGTCTTATATAGAGATTAAAATCTTCAGTCATGGCACCTGGTAAGTCTAACTGATAAATATATACACATATTGATCAAGTTTGAGACTTTAAATTTTATGTCCATTCTAAGAGGTAGTATCCTTTAATTCTAGATTATCAGGTTCTCAAAGACGCTTTTTCTCCTCCATGACATTTACCTGAACAGAATCAAACACTTTATTCTCAGCCAAGTATACACCTCCATTACTTTCATTTACTTTTATATGACGTACTGCATTGGCATATCTGTAAATACAACATAATCATATGATGGATAAAGACAGATGCACATAATTCCTAATCCCTTAACTGAAACAGTCGCAATATTGCTACATTAAATATCAGTATAAATCTACGACTAAATCGATGGTGATAATATATATCTATACCTGGCTTTAAGATAGGTGGTTATTTGTAAACGATAATGAACATCTGTTTGTTCTATAGAAAATCATGAACATTTTGATAGAAATTCAATAAATGTTTAGAAAGAAAACTTATTTCATTGCACAACTAAACGTTATATCATGACATCATTTGTATATTGCATCATTATCCTGTACAAATATTCATGAATTTCAAGTTGATGTCACCATGACATCACAAAATGAAGAAAAAGCAAAAATGAATATTTTCAAGGTAATACAGAAATATAACCGGAGATTTGAATCAATGACACTAACTTGACATCCATCCTTTAGGAGTTCTTCCACCTAGATATTTCTGTTTATCAAGATTCTATGATATTCCTGATTTATTTCTAGTAAATTTAGCTACCTAGTGAACTAAAATATATTAATTTTGAAAATGCCAAATTTTGGGCAGAGAGAAACTACATATCTAAAATGATATGGTTTTCAGAAGTACATCTTGATCGATCTTGGCCCATTACTTGACAGAGCTTATGCCAAATGGGATTCTATCAGTCTTTCCCTAGTTAGAAGACAATGTAGTTTATAAGATCTAACAAGTGGTGCTCTATATATAGAACAAACTTACTTAATACTTAAAGATAAAAGACCATTTCTTGCAGGATTAATACTTCTTCGAATTAAAAAGGTTCCATCCTCACTTATGTCTAATGCGGCATGGGCAGTATCACGTTCCATTTCACCAACAAACCTGTGTAATAAGAAAATTTAATTACTATTGGTAAACATTGCCATGTACAGCAAACAATAGTCAACATGTCAGTTAAATTCCCTCTGAAATCATTTAATCACTAGGTAAAATAACTGCATACAATTTTATGGAATACTACCCCTTGGTTTTAATGCACACAATGTTTCAACAATTTACATTGTCTTCATCAGATGAAAAAAAAAATGACAATATAGATTGTTGAAACATTGTGCACAATAAAACTAAGGAGTAGTATACCATAAAATTGTGTTATATTAGTTAACCTGATCTCTATCCCTAAATGTCGCTTGAGGATTAATATCAACACAAAACAATTGAACAGATTTTTCATTAGGGTTACAATAAAGAATTTCAGAAAATTTTTCAAAATCTTTCCCAAAATGTGTTTTCTTGAGTGTTTACATAAAAACTGAAGACTGAACACAGGTGACAGTCAAAATTTATTTCATCGGATATCTCCCTACTGTACATGATCATGTCAAATTTCTAATCAATAGTAGATCATGTCAAAATATGCACACTTTATTGTGAAAAGAGAAACTTGCTCAATTTTCAAGAAATCGACAAAGAAATTAAAGGATTTTAAAAAGTTTTTTTCAACGTTTTGTGTCAGAGACATCCATTTGCACCATTCAAATTTCCAATCAGATATCTGTGGTTCTTGCAATACCACTAAGAACCACACGCTTTATGACACAAAAAACGCAATAGTGGCTAATATTATACAAGGCCCTTTGCAATAGTGACATCTTAAAATGCTTAGTTTCAGTGAAATTGCAGGCACCACAACTGTCTGACTGAAAATTGGAATGGTGCAAATTGATGCTATCAGTGTTCTTGATAAACACAAAAGGTTTAGAGAACGTCTTGAAAATCCCTTTAATCTGTATAATCATTTTTAAAGTGAACAGTTCTTTACACTCAAAACTGGAGGAGCACATTATAGAAGGTGATAAAAAAATTTGGTAATATTATTAATATTGATGGTCCATTATTTCATAATAAATCACTTATGTTGAATGTGCTAAAATGGAAGACTTTAAACATAACAAAAGTCCTTTCAATGTAAAAATATCTGTATTACTACTATATTTTTTTTCTGTGTGATTTTGAAATAAATGTTTTGTTCTACTCATTTAAATCATAGTACTAAGAAGTTGCAATGATTGCTTTAGACAATGTTCATGGGGCTTAGACAAATGTCTAGCTGAATTTGAAAGGTATTTTAAAATGAAATTTATTGAATAATAAATAAAACAAATATCTAGCTGAATTTGAGAGCTATCTTAAAATGAAATTTATTGAATAATAAATAAAACAAATGTCTAGCTGAATTTGAAAGGTATTTTAAAATGAAATTTACTGAATAATAAATAAAACAAATGTCTAGCTGAATTTGAAAGCTATTTTAAAATGAAATTTATGGAATAATAAGTAAGACAAATGTCTAGCTGAATTTGAAAGCTATTTTAAAATGAAATTTATGGAATAATAAGTAAGACAAATGTCTAGGTAAATTTGAAAGCTATTTTTAAATGAAATTTATTGAATAATAAGTAAGACAAATGTCTAGCTGAATTTGAAAGGTATTTTAAAATGAAATTTATTGAATAATAAGTAAGACAAATGTCTAACTGAATTTGAAAGATATTTTAAAATGAAATTTATGGAATAATAAGTAAGACAAATGTCTAGCTGAGTTTGAAAGGTATTTTAAAATGAAATTTATTGAATAATAAGTAAGACAAATGTCTAACTGAATTTGAAAGGTATTTTAAAATGAAATTTATTGAATAACAAGTAAGACAAATGTCTAGCTGAATTTGAAAGGTATTTTAAAATGAAATTTATTGAATAATAAATAAAACAAATGTCTAGCTGAATTTGAGAGCTATTTCAAAATGAAATTTATTGAATAATAAGTAAGACAAATGTCCAGCTGAATTTGAAAGGTATTTTAAAATGAAATTTATAGAATAATAAGTAAGACAAATGTCTAGCTGAGTTTGAAAGCTATTTTAAAATGAAATTTATTGAATAATAAGTAAGACAAATGTCTAGCTGAATTTGAACGCTATTTTAAAAAGAAATTTATTGAATAATAAGTAAGACAAATGTCTAACTGAATTTGAAAGCTATTTTAAAATGAAATTTATTGAATAATAAGTAAGACAAATTTCTAACTGAATTTGAAAGCTATTTTAAAATGAAATTTATTGAATAATAAGTAAGACAAATGTCTAACTGAATTTGAAAGCTATTTTAAAATGAAATTTATTGAATAATAAGCAATCCTGATAATCCGTTAAAAATTGTTCAATATCATTGCCTTTGTCAAATCCCTCAAACCAATGATGAAAACCATCAAGATAATAAGAACACTATTATGGATATACTACTCCTTCCTTTAATTTTTTCAACGTTTCAATTCACATACAGGAATCTTTATCAAGCACAAAATAATAACGATAATAAGATAAGATAACATCTTAAAAGTGAGAAATAGATAAATAAGCTGAAAAATATTCAGTTGGGGATAAACAAAAAGTTGCAAAGTAAGACCACACAACAGCTTTGTTCAATTTTTAGATTCAATAAAGAGAGGCCTGAATCATAATCATAGTGAGGTTCTATAGCACAATCTGTAAGAGCGATGTTGTACATAACCTTGCTTGCATATGTCTATCAAATGATGGCTCTGGGTTTCGATCTTGATTGGCATATGAATTCAGAATGAATTCAGAAGGTCTTAAAACCAAAAGTAGAATTATTTTTTTCAAAAAAAAAATGAAACAACTGCCATTTAACACAAAACAATGAGATATCTGTACATGCAAAGTTCTGTTTTGAACAAATCTATACTATACAAGTTACGCTCTAACTGTGACCAAAAAAATGTACAAAAAAAAGTGTGAACTGGAATTTGACTCTTTTGTCATAGATCTAATTATATTCATAATGTCTAATAATATTTAACATTACAAACTTCTACATGCAATAGTTCATAAGATATTTATACATCCATTTCATGCAAGCAAAAATATCAAGAAAAATCTTCAAATATCATAAAATCAAAATAATCAATTTGACATCAAAAACTATCTATAACAAAAATACGAGGGAATATTTTATGGTATAACACACTTCTTTAATAACAAAGTACATAATGTTTCAACACATGTGTCATGGGGGGGATGATGACTCATTTAAATTGTGTTGAAACGTTATTAAAGGAGTGTGTTATTCCATAATATATTCCCATGTGTTTTTTGTTATATGTGTTTTCAGCTTCTAAATGCCGTTCAAATCTTATTAAAAAATAATGGTTATATATTGTTGGATAGAAAACAAGAATTGATGTAACCCTCTAGATTATGAAAGTCATGTTCTAGGACAGCCCAAAGTGGCTAATAGTTTAACAATAGTAACTACTGTTAATTTCCATGACCACTACCACTAAGAACTACACCAGAAACTTGTACAGTTTTTGACAAGATTTCTCAAAGCTTTCCTCAAACTTTTTTCAGCATGATTAATGCAATCTTCATTTTCAGTCTCAATAAGGGTTTTATATTTTGCAAATGGTTGTGTGTTTTAGCACCACCGTCATTTAATATTGTTGTATACTGCCTTTTTTATTTGTCTAATGACCTAATGAATATCTCCATAGCATTAGAGGTTCCAACATAACTAATATTAAATTTTTTTTAAAGCTATGATACCCGTCCTTAAATTCATCGCTGTCCTCAAGATTATTCTTATGCAAAGTACATGCATGACAGATTTTAGACACGAGTCTCAAAGTATAGAACTAATCCTGTCGAAATATCAATAACAAAAGCCTCTGTCTTCAGTGTCTGGATCCATACCTTGTATCTTATCAGTGTCTGGACCAATACCTTGTATTTTCACAGTGTCTGGACCCATACCTTGCGTCTTCAGTGTCTGGACCCATACCTTGTGTCTTCAGTGTCTGGACCCATACCACGTATCTTCACAGTGTCTGGAACCATACCTTGTGTCTTCAGTGTCTGAACCTATACCTCTCGTCTTCACTGTGTCTGGACCCGTACCTCATGTTTTCAGTGTCTGGACTAGTGCCTCATGTCTTCAGTGTCTGGGCCAAAACCTAGTGTCTTCACAGTGTCTGGATCTGTACCTTGTGTCTTCAGTGTCTTGACCCATACCTCTTATCTTCAGTGTCTGGAAATTTACCTCATGTCTTCACAGTGTCTGGACCCATACCACGTATCTTCACAGTCTCTGGACTAGACCTCATGTCTTCACAGTGTCTGGACTAGTGCCTCATGTCTTCACAGTGTCTGGACCAAAATCTTGTGTCTTCAGTGTCTGGAGACATACCTCGTGTCTTCACAGTGTCTGGACACATACCTTGTATCTTCACAGTGTCTATTGTATTGATAATCCTAAACTGAACACTGTACCATGTCTATCCCCACCTTTAGTCTTCTGATCTTAAATTTCTTTATTTAAACTTCAATTTACTATGTACAATAGATTATAAAAACTTTACTTTCTACAATACCCTGATTGTTAAATAAATTTAGTTTAATGCAGTTAATACGTTTGAAATTTCTAAAAACTATTATGAAAACTTTTGGAAAGTTACCTCTGGTACGTGGCTGTAACTTACACTCTAATCAAAATTAGATCAAACTTTTGTTCCGTTTTTTTATTCGCTGCTACTTTTGATATAGCCTTATCAGTTAGGGTCTAATGACAGCCTTCTTGAACTTTTGTTAAATTAACCTTTTGACCCAAATCAATGACTCTGCTTTAACCAATCAAATTTTTACCTTCTCCAGCACTAGTATTTTGTGACATGGTTAGGCCAAAAGGTCAATTTGAGGAAGGTTCAAAACGGGTATTTATATAAATGGAAAAATTCTGAAGATTCTTTTTGGTAAGAGGCTATAATTTACCACATTAAGATTTATTTTGGCACTTTCATTTAATCATCATAAGCCCTATGCGTATCGTGAAAAGCAATCATTGCAACTTCTTTCTGTGTTTGATCGATTTATC